GGTTGTACCTTGTCCTGATTTTGGTGCCCATATTCATTGGTAACGTAAAATATATTGACATGGTGCAAATTGTTATATTTTCTAGAGAAACGTAACCAGAAAAGGGGAGTTGTTAAGTCAGTGATGATGATGGTGATGATGATGATGGTGGTGATGATGATGGTGGTTGTGATCATGATGATAATGGTGGTTGTGATCATGATGATTGCAATGATGGTGATGATAATGGTGGTTGTGATCATGATGATGATTATTTATGGTGACGATGATGATGTTCTGATGTTGGAAATAATGTGCATAATTAATATTAGTCTCAGTGTTAAGTTTGTTGCTTACTCTAGATCCCCGCCAGGCTGTCCGGGGGGGGAGGGGCAGGACACAACACTCATTCCCAACTCCTCGCATAGAGTGACGAAAACATTGGAAATAATTCGTCATCTCCATCCCTAGCATTCAATAAAAGTATGCCGAAAAATCACGGAAGGGTACTTCCAAGTGATGACATTGTTAGTGTGTTTGTTACCCTACGTCTATGCTGTCATATTTTCAAAACAGTGAAAGGAGTGTGGCCAATAACCTTTGTAATAATAATTTTCATAGTCCATTCAGTTGCGTTCCGTATTAAGAGAGTAACACGACTAGACCAACGTGTGTGCTGATGGTGATGGATTATTTGCCAACGTTTTTCAGTAATGTCGAAACCATATGTGAGGCAGCGTGGTGGCATCAGGCTCTCGTCAAAATAATTAAAGTGAAGAAACTTGCATGTTTCCTCAGGTTTGTGAATTTTTATCAAATTTTTGTTTTTTGGCTCAACACCTTTCATTCCCATTAAAGAACTCATTTCTGTTTGGGTTTTTCTGAAAAACGTTGATTAAGGGCACAAAAAATGTAAATGTTCAGTTACCACGGACTCTTAAGCTAAGGAAACAACTAATCTTTGGGGGCCATTTTCTCACTAACTTTACCTCTGAAAACAGGTGAGCCCCACCTCCTTCTTTCGCAAATATCTCGACTTGTCTTCAAGATAAATGGATATTTTTTCATCCACATAAAGAAAAGTGAACAAGCTTTAAGATGATACCAATAACTCTAGATGCCCAAAAATTGACGAGAGCCTGATTCCACCACGCTGCCTCACATATTTTCTTCTATACCTCAGCACAGTGGCCCCTTTCTTTAGTTAATTCCCTTTGCTCTAGCCATTTCCCTAGTCTGGTTTCTTTCCTTAAGTCTGACTTATTTTCTTTTTGTCGGGTTACTTTCTTCTAGTCCTGTTAGTTCCCTTTTGTTTACTATTGTCCTTTTAGTCTTGTAGCTTTCCATTATTCAAGTTATATCTCTTTCATCTATTTTCTTCCCTTTAATCTCGTCACTTCCCTTTTTGCCTAGTTACTTCCCTTGACTAGTTATTTAACTTTAGTCGGGTTACTTCCCTTTTGTTTAGTTACTTCCCTTTTGTGTAGTCGTTTCTGTTTAATCTGGTTTCTTCCCTTTTGTCTGATTAATTCTTTGAAGTCTAATTGTTTCCCTTTAGTCTTGTTTCTTCCATTTATTCTGGTCAGTATCCTTTTGTTGAGTCATTTTCCTTGATCTAGATATTTCCTGCCCCCCC